CTTTTTTCAGTTGTCACTTGTTTATAATATATTTACTTCTACTTCTACTCCAAATTATTCTAAAGGATAGGATTCAACTAGGCCAATTTAGAAATTGATAGAAATTGAATCATCATCGAATCATATGGATATACTAGGCATTTGTATGAATTTAAATCACTTAAAATTGACAAGTCACATATAGTGGTAGGTGGTAAGAGTTAAGGTTTGAACCTTTGACTTCCCGTCACACCGTATACTTGGTTTACGTAGCTAATCATTGACAACACGTGTTTGACTTGACTGGAGAGAGAAGGAAAAATATTAGAGGGTTACCATCTTTTCTTTTGTTTATACTTTCAAAAACCTCCTCTAAAGTTTTTAACTATTTCATTAGCTATCTCCAAATTTTAAAAATTATAATAACCTCCCTTGAGATTTATTATCTTGTGACATTTAGATCCAATTAATAATTAAATAGTGAGATTAGGAGAGACAAGATAATATGATTCCGCCATTGCCCCTCATTACTATATTGTTTAATTAATCTAATACTAATCCAAACATTAAAGAAAACACTAGATTTTATTGTTTATCATCAGAGATTAAATTACATGTGGCATAAAAAATAGTATATCATTTTATATATTACACTTAATGTAAGATCGAAATCACTCTTTTTAATCACCAACCCATTGTCAAACATTATCAACAACAAATAATAAAAAAATTGTGTAACCAAAATATTATAAAGAGCGAATTTTAATACTATAAAAATCTCAACAACTAAACTTAATATATTGATAAGAATATTTATAATGTTAAAGTTTATTCTGTATAATATTTTGATTGCAAATTTTTTGATTATTTGTTACTGATCATGTTTGATAATAGGTATGTAACTGAATAGAGTAATTTTGATCTTATATTAAGTGAAAATTATAATATAGCATACTATTTTTTGATACTGTATGTGATTTGATCCATAATGACAAACAACAGATTTTAGTGTTTTTCTTTAATGTGCAGGTTGATATTAAATTAATTAAATTATGTAGTAGATCAAGGGTAATGATGAAATCATATTATTGTTTTAGTATAATATCACGTTTTAAGTATTGATTGGGTCTAAATGTTACGAGATAATTAACCTCAAGAGAGATTAGTGTGATTTTTGAAACCTGAAGGAAGTTAGTGCAATAGTTAGAAACCTTAGGAGAGGTTTCTGAAATTATCCCTTAAATCTTTACATCACATCTTCGTGGTAAACAAATTAGAATAAGTCGGTAGAGTTTTAGATGATAAGGTTGAGCAATGGATGTCGTGCTTATTTCTGGACCAGACAAATTCTGCAGTAGATGAAGCAACAACAGGCGAAGGCGGATAAGCAGCCAAACCAAATATTTGTGGTGCCGACATCTCCACACCAATTTATGGAGCATATATATATATACATGAAATGACATATTAAAAAATACGTTCTGAGAGTTTATATGGTAAGTGCGTGCGCCTGCATGTTAATGAATATGTAGAGGCGTTCCAGCAGCTCCCCTAGTTTGTGATTAGTTCGAATGGTATCACATGAGTATTAAAATTAGAGGTTAAAGTAAAGACAATAATGAAGGGCTTGAATTTGCTTTTTTTTTTTAAAAAAAAAAAAGAAGAAGAAGAAGAAGAAGAAGAAGGGCTTAATTTTATTTTATTTTTTTTACATTTTTTGGGTTTTGTAGGCTACTTGAACACTGCGTCTGAATTTTGATTTCGGTGCTCGGCCAGATATTTTTCTTAATATAATGATTTTTTTTAATCATGGGTAATCGTTCAGTTTCTCAAATACTTACCGACCATAATTGTCGAGTCACCCTTGGTACTGATGACGAAGTTGGATGCCTTTTGACCATTACCTAACCGGCCAACAACTACGGTCCGACCAAGGCATAACCTTACTCTGAAAATGCACTTACCCAGACGACTCCAATCGAATCTGCCCTTAGGTCCTTTCTTTTTTTTTTTTTTTTTTTGAGCAAAATTCTAGTAATACCTTTCATTCACATCAAGAAAGAGCGTTTGTACACAGAGGATAGTATTGACCTCATATTTACATGTATGTATTCCTATATTTATTGACACGAACAAAACAAAAAGATTAATCTCAATTCAAGACATACAACCGAGAGGCATGCGGTATCCCCCGCTCGAGAGCAAGGCACCGGTTCTGCTGATGCGAATCTGCCCTTTTAAGCCATAACCGGCTTCTGCATTTTAAGGTTAACGCCGTGCATATCGTGGATGGGGCCTCACTCCGCAGCTTCTATTTCAAACAAGTTTATCTTTGAATGTGAATGACTCCGGATAAAGGTATAAATAAATTACAAATAAAATATAAATAAAGTGCATTATAGTGTTAAACAAAGTCAAAATCACCATTTCATCCACAAATGTGTAGTAAAATGGAACTTGAGAGGCCCGCATCTAACTCTTCGAGGCTGTGTGCGGTTTCTAAATTACTACTACTGTCTGTGCCAAACTTCATCCTAAATAGTAACTTCGTATCCAAGAAGTGAGTGTCGCATTCTTTTTTCTTTTTTTTTTTTTTGTTTTTTGTCTCCCCCCTCCTCAGATGTAATCGAGTTGAATTGAACTCGAGTATCACCATATTCGAACTCAATTCGCCAAGTAAGAAGGATACTCGAACTCAAGTGAGTAGTATTATTAGAATTCGAACTCGAGATCGATACATTGCTCACAGAACTCGAGCACGACTCTATGGGATTCGATTCAATACGACCCTTACCAAGCTCGAGTTAGAAAGAATTTGAGATTTCATTTTGTTTGACAAAATTTGAGTGAAAAGACATTATTGACCTTCATAAAATTTCACATGACTCGAAACATTTCATAACTTCAATCACTCTTATGAGCACAAGGATAATTTCATAATAATAATATTACATTAAAGAATTAAAATTAAAAAACTTGATAAGACTCGACAAGTTTTCAAACCATGCTGTTAGATATTCGAACTCGACTTGTTAGACCTATCCAACTACTTGAACTCGGTCAACTTGAGTCAAAATTGAGCTTTTGACCGAGCAGCTCGGTTCGATTATACACGAGCAGGTCGGTTCGATTGTAGCTCTACCCCCTCCTCGCAAGTTGTAACCCTGGCTTTATTGCAAATTTACTTGCTATGGTATGTGCAGATTCATTTGCATGTTGGTGCATTATATCACAAGCAAATGGATACATACATGATTGTCATATGATCTACCTACGGATCAAGTCCATATCAAAATAAAATTCTTATTTTGTGATCTATCCCCATGGTAACTTGTCTTTGGCAAAATAAAGTACCTATCATCTACTAAAAGTTTTAAAACCAAGATAGTTGGATTTTATGTCGACAGTCTGTGGTTGTATCAAGCACATTTATTTTTTAATACTAACTCAGTACTAATTAAGTTTTGGTTTCTTTGCTCTCAAGTCTCGACCCCCGTCTTTCCTTCAAAAAAAAAAAAAAAAGAGTCTGGATCCCTGTCTCTTCCTTTTCTCATCAAATTAATGTTTTTCCAAGATAATTATCAAATTCATAAAAAAAAAATTACAATGAAGCTGACAATCATCATGCTCATGATGTGAATAGCAAGGATAATGACGAGGAATGATGGAGATGGAGCTTATTTTTGCAATGGCCGCAAAAGGAGTATCAATTCAATGTTGATAATGCATCATTTGCACCATAAACAAACTGGAAAGAGAAATATTAGGAATAACTAGTATGTAGCTCCGAGACTCGGCATGCTACGGAGAATCTAGCTAGCTACAAATTCTCTTGCGAATTGCATACAGGTTAGGAGTTCATTTCCTCCACTCAGTCGGAAGCTTTCTCTCTAATAGGGGAAAGATTAGCATAAACACAGATACATCCACAATCATACTTCTTCAAGAGAGAGTAAGTTCTAAAGTAAGTTTTTTTTTTTTTTTTTTTTAAAAGGAAGAAGAAATTCATGGAACTAGAGCCTACGGATCCGGCACAAGGAAAGCAATCTTCCGGATGTGGTTAAATTCAGCCCAATTGCTTTTTTTTTTATGGAAAAATGGATTTATATGAATGACACGAATAATTCATTTAATTAAATCTACTTATTTAAATGGGTTTAAATGATTATCCATTTTAAGTCATAAAATTTTTTTCTTAAGCATCCATATCCATTTAACATTGGTTTATTTAGATGGATAAATAAATTGATATGCATCCATTTTGCCCCCTCTAAAATTTATACCACTATTTAGGCCGAAATTCTTTGTCGGTGGTTTAGCGCAACCTAATAGTTTGTTTGGATAAGAGTTTATTTGGATGATTTATTTGAGATATTTACTGTAGTATTTTTTATGATGTGACGTGTGTGAGATAAAAAGGTGATTGGGAAGATAAAAAAGTGATTGAGATTTGTGAGGCAAAATTTTTTTTTCCAAATTCTCTCTATCCAAACAAACTCATTAATGACTTTTGTTCCATTCGCGTTGCATGAGGTCCACCATGCACTAATCCAAAACATCTCCCATAGCACGTATCAGGAGACATGAGTTTGCACAAGGTTAGGCTAAACCCTTTACTTTACAGGCAGTTGTATTTAGATATGCAGCATCAAAATCTTCCCCAACTCCAATAAGACGGGGGAAATTATTTGGATGAACAATGATGGTGTATGTGCGAGTGTTAGGTGCTATGCTGAATTGAAAATACAAGGGCGTACCCAAATTATAAGTCCACGTCAATTGGATACGTAAAGCTAAAAATTACACCCGTACGATTTGCTTGGATTACGTGATGGAGGAGGAAGACTAATTGACCATTATTTTTTCCAATCAATCAATTATTAACTTCCAGTATGTGGTGTAGGAAAAACAAGCTCCCAAGTTGAGACTCAATCGAGTGGGGTGAAGTGTCCTGTGCTTTGTCTCTTTCACCTTCCAGTCCGGTACTTCTCTATATAGGCCTCTCGAACTTGGGTACCATCCTTTCAACTCAAATGCCCATGCCCACCATCATTTGAACAGTGGGCAGCATTCCCCCTTCTTCTCTTTTTCTCGGGTTCCAGACTAGTATATTTCTAGAGCTGCTCTTTCTTCCAAATGGGCACCCGGAAACCTGCAGAGAATGATGTTTTCTCCGGCCAGACCCCAAAAGTTATTGCAGACTTCGACCCACCCAAGAAACCTAAACGAAACAAGTATGCCCTGGCGTGTTCCTTTTTAGCATCCATGACTTCTGTCTTGCTAGGCTATGGTACGTGTTCCTTTTTAGCACCCATGACTTCTTTTTGGAGTTAACAACTGCAATCATCATCACATTTATCTACTTGCATGTATAATTAATAACTGTACGTGCAAATCGAGTGCTACTACTATTACACACAAAACGAACTTAACTATAAGAAGAACTTTTACTGCTTTATAAATTTACAATCAGTTCGTGCACGGTTCATTCTGCTGTATAATAAGTGTAATTTTTTTTTTTTTGGGAGCGAAATATAATAAAATTTTCGAACTGTTTTGTCTTTGTTTTGGGTTTATTTGGTATTCATGCAGATATTGGAGTAATGAGTGGCGCAGCAATTTACATCAAAAGAGACTTCAAGCTAAGCGACGTCAAGGTTGAAATCCTGGTAGGCATCCTGAACCTCTACTCTCTCCTGGGATCAGCTGCTGCGGGGCGGACTTCCGACTGGATTGGCCGCCGGCTCACAATAGTGTTTGCTTCGGCTATATTCTTCGCCGGTGCACTCTTGATGGGCTTCTCCACCAACTATGCCTTCCTAATGGTTGGCAGGTTCGTTGCGGGCGTTGGAGTCGGTTATGCACTCATGATAGCTCCCGTCTATACAGCTGAGGTCTCTCCGGCGTCGTCCCGCGGCTTCCTTACTTCCTTCCCTGAAGTCTTTATTAACGCCGGTGTGTTGTGTTCTCTTTAATATATACTATATATATATATATATATATATATATATATATCCTGATTTGCACAGTTCACTAGAAATAGATAGAGACAAATAAAAAATGGTGGAGTAAAAAATGGAAAACAAAAAGAAAAAAAAAAAAAAAACCTCAGGAGTAAAAGGTTATACACATGATAATTGACTTGTTCGACGCAACCTATTTTTCGTTTTTCATTTTTTTTAATCTATTATTGATGCATCGGTATTGGGTATGCACGATACAATACTCTGACAAGTAACGCGTTACCTGTTAGGTGGGACTAGGTACGTTTCTTCTGCATAATAAGTTGCTATCCTGTCCCTACCAAATTTTAAAAATACAAAAATAAATAATACGCTACATACGTGCCTGCCACCTGCCAGCCCGTCACTGATTCCCTCCCTCGTTGAATTTAGCTTCAACGAGGGATAGCGGTCGTAAGATATAGCATCATTTTTGTCTAAAACGGTTCAATCATTTATTATTTTAGTACTACTAGTTTTTAATTATGGGAAAGAAAATTCTACACATGGGTCCACGCTCCACGTAGGGGTTAGCCACAACACCTTTGGAAATTGAACAAATATTCTTAATTCCTAATCCTTAATCAAACCAAATGATGCGTTAATCTTGTCTTGCTGTAAAAACTAAAGAGAGCAACGGTCAACCATCAAATACCACACCGATCCGCAGAACTTAAATTAGATCACCACGGAAGGAGAAAAACTCTTAGTTTAAGAAGGGTAAATGTTCTAAATTCATACTCGTGCATCAGTCTGGTCTCACGGTGGTTTAGTTTCGTTAGATTTCTTCGATTCAGGAGTATGTTAGGTTGGATTAGACGTGTCGTTGCAAAATTTAAAGAAGCTCTGAATTTAAAAAAGTTTGAGATTTGAATCTATCAAAAACAATAGCAAGGAACTACTAGTAGTAACTCATCAGTGGTTTTTTGTCGACAGGCATATTGCTGGGCTACGTATCAAATTATGGATTTTCCAAGCTCCCACCTCACTTGGGTTGGCGTTTTATGCTGGGAATCGGAGCAGTCCCGTCTGTTTTCCTGGCCTTAGGAGTCCTGGCCATGCCCGAGTCACCCCGTTGGCTGGTCATGCAGGGTCGGCTCGGCGAAGCCAAGGGAGTTTTGGACAAAACCTCGGATTCGTTAGAAGAAGCGCAGCTGAGATTGTCCGACATCAAGGAAGCCGCGGGTATTCCCGAGCACTGCAACGACGACGTCGTGGCGGTCTCTAAAAAAAGCCACGGCGAAGGAGTTTGGAGGGATCTGCTGGTCCACCCCACTCCATCGGTCCTTCACATTTTACTGGCGGGCGCTGGTATCCATTTTTTCCAACAATCCAGCGGCATTGACGCCGTGGTTTTATACAGCCCCAGAATATTCGAAAAGGCAGGCATAACTAAGGACACTGACAAGTTGCTCGCCACCATGGCCGTTGGATTCACCAAAACGTTGTTCATCTTGGTGGCTACATTTTTCCTGGACAAGGTCGGACGGCGCCCGTTGCTTCTGTCCAGCGTCGCCGGCATGATAGGCTCGCTTGCACTTTTGGGCGTTGGCTTGACCATCGTTGATCATTCGGAGCATAAGATGGTGTGGGCCGTAGCATGGTGCCTGATCATGGTATTAGCCTACGTCTCGTTCTTCTCGATCGGGCTGGGGCCCATAACGTGGGTCTACAGCTCCGAGATATTCCCTCTGAGGCTGCGGGCTCAGGGATGCAGCATTGGCGTGGCAGCGAATCGGGTGACGAGTGGGGTCATCTCCATGACTTTCTTGTCACTATCCAAGGCGATTACTACAGGCGGGGCCTTCTTTTTGTTCGCCGGAATCGCGTCGGTGGCCTTTGCGTTCTTTTATACCTTGCTCCCAGAAACGCGGGGTAGAACCCTCGAGGAGATGGAAGAACTGTTTGGAACCTTCTTCCAGTGGAGGACGAAAATGAGAGAGTTGGAGAAACAAAAGACAGGGCAGCAGCTTCAGATGGGAACCACCGCAACTGCTGCCAAGAATTAGAGAATTAGCTTAGCTTCAAAAATTAGTTACTATCGTCGGTGGTACTAATGCTACCTACAGCAGCGGACAAGGTTTCTCTGATGTAATTTGAAAGCATATAAAATATGAGCCTCGTACCAACAAAAAAAAAAAAAAAAAATGGGGGTCCTTTCCAACACAACTAAAGTCCTGTATGAAGTGAAGGCCCCGCTAAAGAGAAAAGGGTATGTATTTTCAGATTTTACCCAGCTAATAAGATAAAAGTTTTTTTTTTTAACATAACAAATAAATAAATAAATAAATAAAAGGACGGTGGATCTACTTTTGTTGACGCATGCCCTATGCAAATTCTAAAGTGAGTAGCATTACCAGAAGTGGTCTTTGCGCTAGTGAATGTCGAGACTAGAGCTGGCAATTTGTCCCAAGTCCCAATGGGCTATCCATGCCCAAAGGAACTTTGGGCGGGATGGGTATTATAATTTGATATTGGGTTTAAGTTGGGACACATCCCAACTATACCCATTAATGAATGGGAAAGGGTGGGAAATACTTGGGTACCCATTGGGTTCAAATAGCAAGGGCTCCGTTTGGATTAACTGTTTTTGGGGGGGTGTTTTTGAAATATTTTATTGTAACAGTGTATATGAAAAATTTTTACTATAAAATTTTTTTGAAATATTTGATATACTAATATGGATAGGATGTTTCTTGAGTTATTGTATATTACTGTAACATTGTATTTGAAAAACTTATTTTTTGGAAAAATAGTCAATCCAAACGGACCTTGGCCATCTTGATATATATTAGAATATGGCTGTATATCTATCTTTTCCTTTATTTGTTAATCCAATTTTTGGTGGGAATCTTGAGTATAAAGCACTTGCATGTTTATTTAATAAAACTAAAAGAAATTTAATAAATCAAAAATATTAAAATTTTATAAAAAATAAAAAATGAATTAAAAGAAAAAAGTATGTAGGAAATGAATTTGGGTATTGGGCGGGATCAATCTAAACCCATCCCAAATTGATCCCGCCCAAGTTAGTCCCAAAACACATATGGGTAAGGTTGAGCCCAAACTCATATGACTCGGTTCCATCTCAAACCCAAGCAAATCCCGCCCATCCCGCCCATTTTGCCACCTCTAGTCGAGACTTACTTACCAGAAGAAGGAGTGGGAAAAAAAAAAAGCAAGCAAGTGGCGGCCGGCGGGGTGGTGTTTTTTGCTTTTTGGTGTACAGTCTCCAACTGCAATTGAGGAGAATATGATTGAGGCCCGAGGGATAGCGTAACATGTGGCACAGCTGTGTTAGACTGTTAGTTGGCTCAAAAGCGTACAATGGCAGCAAATTTTTTCAGCCTACGATGGCTTACTTTTCAATTCACACGGTGCCAACTGCAAACTGGAGCCTCTCGTACTAATCTTGATCAGGAAAGCAACATTTTGTTGTGTTGTAGTTGGACCCATTTTCTTCGTTGGATCCGCTGGACTTTAGAGTCCCCCGACGCGACTAAAACTCTAAAAAGTAAACCCGCAGCCAGTGCGCGCTCTCGTGTTGTCTACGGCAACGTTTCCAAATTTTGTGGCCATTCCTTTTTTTTTTTTTTTTGTTTCCCCTTCTATTTTATCAGGTGAATAGAATATGCTCAAACTCGTAGTATTGGCTTGTTTACGAGTGCACCCAATATATAAGTGTAATTTCATATATATTATTTTTAATTAAAAAACCTAATTGTCTGAATAAGCTCGTCGAGCTAGCAATCGAGTCTCCTTCTCAAAGGCTCGTGCTCGACTCGAATTTGACAAATGAGTTGCTCAAGCTCAGCAGCTGTTGATCGAGGTGCTCATGAGTAGCTTGCGAGCAATTTGAGTATACAGTAGTCCTAGGCTCGTTTTCGTCAAAGGCCTTGCCGTTCTAAACTCTATTCATCTGATGCTGGCAAAGTCTAACTAATTATTTTGCTATCTTAAAAGTTCAAAATCCTAATTGATTGTAGAGACTAATTTCAAGTTTTCTACAATGATTTCTTTCTATCATCTCGAGCACAAACTTTTGACGAGTCTATATAATAGACGTGCATATGATGGCTTTAACTTAACAGAACGTTCCAATTACCATGATAAAAGTTAAAACTGCAAAAAAAAAAAAAAAAAAAAACCCAAAACAAATGCCTCATGGAAATTTAATAATTGCAGGCAGGTGCCTAACAAGGCAAAAGGGTCTAATCATTGGGTTTAGTCCAATGGTTAGAAAAGGGCGCTTAAGAGTCTTTTGAGGATTCAAGTCCTACGCTTGATAGTTGGGAGTGGAAAGGAGCGGAAGGGTTAAAAAAAAAAAAAAAAAAAAAGAAAGACAAAAGGGTCTTGACCTTAGGCTTACACGACTAGAAAATCGAGTATTTGGTTCTTGTAGCCCCCAGCCTGTACTACATACAAGATCATTGGCAAGCTATATCAAAGGGTAGTGAAATGTGAATACAAAAAGATGGAGCCTCGTCAAATGTATAATCAACCCTTACATGGTATCATGGTTCCGGGTGCTATCGCTTTTGGCATCCTGTAGATGCAGTCATGCTCGCGTCAACTAATAAGCAAGATCATGCGGCTCTGCTTCATACTTCATGGATGATCTGTAGGTTTGCATGGAAGCATGTTTTTTTATTTTGAGACCTTTTTTTATTAGACAAAATTTTTTTTAAACAAATTTATGTATAATAACTCCTATAAACACTCCAAAAATTTTAAACTATACGCTTCAAAAAAAATACTCAAAAACACATAAATTTTTTTCTCCTTTCCTTTCTTTTCCTTCATCCTCCCCACCTCAAAACACCATCGCTTGTCGCATCTCCACCAGCTAGTAAGTACCGCCATCCTTTTCCCACCTTTTTTGCTCTCTCTCTCTTACTCTCTCTCTCTCCTTCCCTCCTCCTCCACCCCTTCTCTTCACCACCTCCTCTCTTGACCTCCCTCACCTTGCTCCACCTCCCTATCTATCTCCTCCTAGCATAGTTATTAAACCCAACCCGGGAAGGAACCCGGCGAAGGAGGTGGGTCAACGGGTTACTGGTTGAACCGGTGGGTGACTACATATATTTAAATATTATATTTCATAATTATTTATATAAGATATATGATATAAATTGTAATAAATAATGTCATAACAAAAGCTCATTTAATTTAATTTGTTATAAAATAATTAATTCATATAAGAATCAATCAAATATAAAGTTATTTATTAATATACCAAACTTCAAGTGTAAAATTTTATCTATATTTAATGTAATTATCTAGCTTATTTATGAATTTTAAGTGTAAAAATTTATTAAAAATAATATTTGTCTTTAAATGAATTATGTAATATGTTATTTTTGGAATCCATTTTATAACTTATAGAGTTTGGAGGGTAATAAATTTTTATTAAAAGATTCCAAATAAATTTGTTTTAGAGAAAAAAAGATAGAATTGAAAAAACATTTATATATCATACTAAAGCTACTATATCAACATATTTGGAAGTGGTTTGGTGGTAAGCAAGCGGTAGTGTGAGGGCAAAGGTCGGAAGTTCGAGTCCCAACAATAGCAATATAATTTTTCCACAAAATCCGGTTAGTGACAAAACCGGCCAAAACCGACCGGGTTTCCGGTTTAACCCGGTTCGACCGCCGGGTCGCTGACTAAGTCAACGGTCTCTGTGCACAAACGATCTGATTCCAAACCCGGCCCGGTCCAATGACCGGTCCACCGGTTTGACCGGTTCGACCGCCGGACCGGATTGGACCGGGCCGGGTTTAATAACTATGCCTCCTAGTCACGAGACCTCTGGCATCAGCAAGAGGCACACTGCCTTTTGTCGCGTGACTAGATTTGGTCGCGCTACCAAAAGGAGGGGGAAACAAAGGAGGAGCTAAGGCGGGATGAGAGAGGTCGGGAGAAGGGGTGACAAATGGACAGAGAGAGAGAGGAGAGGAGGGAAGAATGAGAAGGGAAAAGAGGGAGGAGGAGGGGGAAAGAGGGAAAAAAAAGTAGGAAGGATTGGTGATGGTGACAGCCAGGAGTAGGTGCGCTGAAGAGAGAAGGAAGAAGGGTTTGGTGTGGGGATGTAGGAGAAGATAGAAGAGAAGGGAAAAAAAGAAAAAGAAAGAAAAGGAAAAAGTACAATAAAAAAAAAGAAAAGAAGAGAAAGGAAAAAATAAAAGAAAGAAAAAGAAAAAAAAAAGGAAAGTTTTTAATTTTTTTAAACCCAAATACACAAAAATTTTTCTGCTAATTCTACAATAATCAAATGATAGCAAAAATTTGTTTCAGTATTACAAGTTGATAGCAATATTAATCAAATGACTGGAGTATGTATCATTAGTTGGATTTCACATTTTGAATATTTAATGATTTATAAATAAAAATTGTATACAAGTATATTTTTTCCAGTCCGGTTCACTTCTGCAAGTAAATTTAGGCACGCAATCAAACTTATTCTTAAAAATTTCAACTGAAACAAATATGGGTCCGTCATACCCTTAGTTTTTGGGAGCCGAAAATTTATACAGAGACAAATACAATCACCAATGTTTTAATTGTGACCAAAAACAGACAATTGATAGAATACAGGTAAATGTGACTAAAAGATATACCATTAAACACTTTAAATTTTTTCCACGCGTATAACTAACCATTTCTGAACCCACCCACGCCCCCAAAAAAAATTTTTTTTTTTAATTTAAAAAATCCAGTACTTTGTATAGAGCTTCTTAGGATTATCGCTAGCTATTCCACAACAAATGTGCAAGATCTTCTTCTTCATTTTCACAGACAATAGGAATATACACACCTCTACAAAGACTCAGCGCATTATTAACACACATTCTCGCAATCCCTCCAAAAAATTTGCCAGTACGATTTGAGCAACAAAATGATAGGAAAATTACAGCGGAGAAGATCCACACAATAATTCCTCACTTCTCTATACCCTGCTGCAAATATTGAATCAAATCGTAACCAGCAGTTGTCCATTTATTGTAGGCATCTGTACACGTCCGGATCATGAAAGTGGCAGCCTCACGATCGCTCATCTCAGGGTGAAATCTCTTTCTAAGATTTCCGATAGGGTCACCCCTGCTAAAGCAAGGCAATCCGCTATCTAACATTAACAAGACTGTGTTCACAATCCCATCCATGTAACGCCGAGCAGCAAGATAACCCTTCACACACAAACTGCAAAACATAATAACCAAATTGTGGCGTAAGAACCATCTCTTAAAAATGGCAACTGAAAAATTTGACACCCTTTCTTACCTCACAAAAAGATGCCAAGTGTCACTTTTCATTGCACCAGATGGGTCAATTAATTGAGTCATTTCATGACTCAATTTAAAATGGGCACTTTCAAATCGCATATTTCCACCAGGGGAAGTTTCCAAAATAAAACCAAAATCGATGTGAACAAGTCTCCCCACGCTGCAAAAATGAAAGTTTGGCTGAGAACAAATGCCAGTAGAACTTTCAAGTTATGTAACGCTACTAGTCACGACTTCTTGATTTGCTTGAAGCGTGAGATAATTATTTCACTCTTTGACCAGTGGTCAAGAAGAGGACAGGAGGTGGAGCATAAAGGGAGAAAACAGCAGGGAAGCTAAAGGAAGCACAGTGAATTAACTTTTGAACAAGCTGATGCAGGAAATAATACAAGTACGTTGACAATGACGATGCAATTACAGGTCAGACTGAGAAAGAAAAAGGGAAATTAAACAATCTTATAACAAGCAAGTGTTGGAAGCACAGGAATGGTAAGGACTTGCAGAACAAGACCATAATTGGACAGTAACACCGGCCACGGGTCATAAAGCTGCTTACTTGTCAAAGAGTAGATTGCCGTTATGTCTATCCTTGGGTTGAAGCAACAAGCTTGCTACTGCATAACCAGCACTGCTGATGATGAAGTTCTCACGAGCAGCTTCAAAACTGGGAGAACCAACAGGTCCATAATCCTGCTGAAAGATCTCATATAAACCACCGTCAGTTGTCTCACCCATTTGACTTCTGCTTCGTGTATTTCGACAAACCTGCAAAAATCCAACGATAATGACATGATAACATACAGAACACTTTAATAAGGACTGGCTTAACAAATAACAACATAGAGTCCAAGGAAGTTTAATAAAGCCTGACAAGAAGTAATGCATCTTGACCAAGATTGACAAGAAATATTGTTTCACGTTATGTTCTCCACCTGGATAATTCATATGAAGTATGGTATATAAGAGTCACAGGTTTTACTAAGAACCTAGACTTTAGCACTGAAGGGTTGCAGTTACACACTATGAGTTCCTGAGGTAAGTAGCATTATGCCGGGAAAGTAAAGAGATGGGATCTTCTCTATCTTCATACAAATAGAGGTAGCCAAAATGAAAGAGCTATCAGCACTTTTGCATGTTGAAAGAAATACTCCACTGGGTTATTTTGTACAACTCCATTAAGATATATTTTGCTTTTAAGGAGGTACAGATAAAGTTCATACTATGTTGTTCAACACTTCAAAAGAAATTTTTTTTTTAAAATGAAAAATATAGATAAGAATAATCATATTTTCATTGACAATGATTCACTGTACAAACCTCCATCCATCATACATGAACAAAGAGTGCACATTCACATGCAAAAACAGAAAAAGCCACTTGACAAGTATTTACCTCTATTATTCCTCTCTCAGGGCCAGTAGGAAGAACTCCATAGGGCAACAAATATAAATTGATTCCGACGCTGTCAAATATGTCTTTTAGAAGTGATATAACTTGCAAAGCAAGAACATCTTGCCGGCAGTCATCTCCAACCTATATGGAAGCAAACTTGTTTAAGCTATACATAACCATAGACCAAGTTCATAAAGATTAAACAGCTAACAAACCGTTAATGTATATTTACACCATACACAGGATGACTTGTGAAATTCAAAAAAATAAACAAACAGAATAAAAAATAAAGACACACCCAAATCATGAGCTGTATAAGATTCTACCTCAATTTTTTAGTTTTTAGCATTCTTTTGTGATTAGATTATCAGGTATTAACTTTGGAACTACCTTTTTAACTTTGCAAGTTCCAACTACAATGCATGAAAAGACCAAACACAAGAATGCAGGAAACACCCAATGGAAAAGACATATACACTCATCTCAGGGAAATTTTGTACTTCTGAGATCATAGCTTCTGCCTCAATCAAGAAATTAAAAGAAGTAAGATGATAATGTGCCACAACTGTTTTACCTTGAATATGCAAGATTGAGGCTTTATATCTTTGGGATCCCCATCCCGGTCCACAACATTAAATGTGATCTTAATGGGAACTTTTGCTGCTGACTGCAATGGAATTCCACTATCAACTTGAATACCCCTCAAAAGTTTATTTGTGGCAGTAGGAAGATAGAGGTCATCCCCTTCCATTTGAATTTTCTCCAGCTCCCTGTTTAACATAGAAATTCAAAATTCCACTTCGAAAATAGAATATAGTCTACCTATCTATTTAACCAAAAATAAATTCCCAAAATTTAAAACAGTGCCTGCAAACAGAAAGTACCTCCGAATACCAGCTTGTCGTTCCTCCTTTGGAACAGGAAATAGGACCCCAGAGATAGATGTGACTTTGTCAAAGAAATCAAACTCTCTTTTAAATAAGTCCAGGGCCTTAGGTGTGAAACCCTCAATAATTCTTTCCCTCACAACAGGCAACAGTGCTTGAAATGAATTATTCTGAAAACACAGCAAAAGACTCACATTGAAAGCACGAACATAACACAAAAGGGATTTTGAAAGACTACCAAGACATGACAAAGGGATCTCAATGTACAAAGAGAAGACATGGACAAAGATACATGCATATATTCCTGTGGTACAGAAGCAACATTATACTCCAAGATTAAGTAAATGAAAGTTAGTAAGAGATGCATAGTCAACAGCCAGAGAGTACAAACACCATCCTTTTCCACAGGAGTCATTTAACATAGGCTACATCACTAATTTGAACTAAGGATGACACTGTAATTAAAATAACATACAAGCAAGTTGAGACATGCATCCCTAAAACAAGTCAAAAGAAGATGACAAGAAACACTGCCAAAAAAAGCAACATTTAGCTTCAAGGAGAATATAGAAATTCCCAATTTTGCTGAAGAATAAAGAAGGTACAGTCATACTTTTGTGGAAACAGCATCTTTTCCAGATTCTGGCACACTAGTCTCCCCCTGCAAAATTTTTAACACAATCACAACGACGTAGATCCAGAACTTTTCCATATTATGCAAGCACACTTTTCATAACTGAATATTAATCACAATGAAAAAAGTGATATCTCCCGCACCTGTAAATGCCATATCAGTATATGCGCAAATATATCACTTCTTTGAGCAGCTCTAAGCAAGTATCCTTCTACAAGCCTCTGCAAGATAAGATATTGTTACCAAAACAACCAGAAGAGATTTTATGTGGCTGCATTCTAAGAAATAGACACGACATGACAGCTTAATAAACGGTTAGATTGGTGCAAGATTTGAGGTACATTTTAAATCATGCACTCTTTACAAAACTTTAAAGTTCTTCCACCAGTAATCTGCAAGTGTAAAACTCTTCCTACGGTTAGTTATATTCTGCCTTTGCTATAAATGTACTGAAGTCATGAGTAATACAAAATCCTAGACCCAAAAGGTTCAACATGGCAGCAATTCAAACCTCTCTTTCAAGACCATTTATTACATTTATTCTCCAGTTCTGGCCCCGATGATAAATTTTTTTTTTTTAACAATTAAGCAACAAAAACTATAACATGTAATGCAAGAAAGACCTACCTCTTCATCATATCTTAAAGACTGCACCAACTGAGGCATGAAGAATGTTACTCGCTCAGGAGGATAAGATTCCAACACCCTAAGAACATAAGCCATAACACGTGGATGTCCCTTATAAGCTGGAGTTAGGAATTCCAAAGCTTGTGTTATTGAACAAGCTGCCCAGTGAGGCAGCTGTTGCAGAAGGGCAGAGTTTTCATCTACAGCTTTTGGGGTAACAAAAAAAGGCAATGCCTGAGGTATGCTGCGGATCTCCAATATATATGTCTGCAACAGGAAAAGCATAGATGAAATACTAGTCTGAGATAACTGCAAATAAGCACTTAAAAAGCAAAAAGAGGAGGTTAAAAAGCAAAGTTTTATAGACATCTCATGCAGAAGTAGAGTGCCAACCAACAATTGCAGTTTCACCCTTCCCCTGTTAAGTAATAAGAGTTAGGTTACATCCATCAAATGTACACCAGTGTGCAAGTTCTTTATCTGGATTAAATTTCTGAAATTCTACACACAAGTCACAAGCCTTACAAACTTGCTGACCTAGATGATTTCAATCACTTTTAGCATTACTTAAAAGTAAGCAAATTGATGTTTGATTCTTGCAAATCTTTTGTAATTTGAGTCACATTCTTTGGGCATGAAAAGTGACCATAGGGATGGGTTGAGGAAGGAGCTTCTAAGGATAATGAATCGTACCTGCACAAACAAGAACAAGGACGAGGGGTGGCTGCATATGTAAGTATCAGTAACAAAGGGTTTCCAAAATATTCTTCAAACCAAAATACGTATAGTCAGAAAAAAAGATAGTACAAACTTATCAAAACACCCAATTGGAAAGAGAAAAAATTCTTGGTAAATCAAAATGGTGTAATAGTTTTTCTTGAGTATTAGAGGACTACTGACATTCACTATCAAAACAGTTATAAACTTATGCAAATTCTCAAAGAAGAAAACTGAAACAACAAATTGGTATGTACACCAAAGTGCTGGGGGACACTAGTTCAGTAACAAATTGACGTTAGAAGTCATTAGAAATCCAGCCAAAATATTGTGTGTATTTTCCTCACCAACAGTTCTAAACCTCAAAGAGACAACACTTATGAAAGCTCATAATCTGAATAATTTTTCCAGTCCGAATGCTTTACAGTTGCATGTCACAAGGAGTAAAAATCATAATTGAACACCAGGGCACAAGTCAAATAACTTCTTGGAAGCATAAAAAAGAGCAAAGAACTTCAATGAATCCAAACCAAAGATCTGTAACATATCTTAAACTTGAAAATCTACCATAAAAGAGCTCCCTGAAATGACTAAAGGAAGCAATGACTTGCATCTTAGTCATGCATTACCACGATGAAGGATTATCACACAGGCTGTTCCAGGAAAAAATAACAGATTTTGCATTATGAAATTCAAAGACACAAATAGGACATCAGTGCAACTATTGGTTACAAAACTTAGAACCTCAGGGTATAGAAAGACACTGATTCCAGCAAATTATCAGTATGCAATATACTATCTATCCACAAATATAAGGCTCCCACCAGAACATGCAACAAATGCAAAAAATTTCCTATCAGATTGAGATGAATGTGCATACTTGAACAAGCAGTGCCACTTCAGACTTCAGAACACCATTAGCTGGAAATCTTGCAGCCAAGGATAAAGCGATTCGAGGATCAACAGAAAAGGCAGTCCTCGCATATTCAACCCATTTTTCAGAGCTAACTTTTGGACGAGATGCACTTTCCCTGAATGTAGTGCACACAGACAAATGAGTGAGTATCAACCAAATGGAAGAAAGTCAACAAGAAAAGCAGCAACTGAATAACAATTACTTTGAGCCAACAGGCTGTGCCCAAACTTCAAGCCTATCAGCCTCATGATGACATAGCATCAGAAGCAACTGCTTTCGTTTTTCCCTTCCAACAGCATAGTTCTCCATTTGGCCCCAGACTGGATGATACTGTTCCTTCTACATAAAAACACAAATTGATTTAAGCAACTCCAGGATCAACAGCTACATAAAAATATAAGGTTTCAGGAAATTAGCATATCTGGCTTCTTAATGCTACTCAATGCAGGAGCCGAAAATACATTCATGATCAGAGTTACCATACCACGCCATTTACCGAGTTCCCATTTTCAGGCACCCGTCCTTTAGGATCAGACTGGGTAGAATCCATCCGCTCACTCAAAAGCTGGTGAACAAACATGGAAAGAGATTGAGCCTCACTTTGGGAAAAGGTGTTGTTATTCCCATCAAACCATTCAGGTTCATGAGCAAACCAACCCAATGAAGTCCTGCGTATTCACAAATCACAGTAAAACAAAGTTGTGAATTTTTTTTTAACAAATCATGAAGAAAAGAATTCCCAATATAATGGCAATGAAAAAATGCAAACAGCTGCACTTAATCTAACCCCATACAAAATGGAAAACAACAGGAAAAGATGCCAAATAAAAGAAACATGAAAGCAAAATATAAATAAGAGGCAGAATGTATTGTCCATCTTTCTACAAGTTTCATTTAACATACTATAGCATACATCATTTGAGGCTTGGTCAGAGCACTATGCAGTCTATAGAATAACAATACCCCAAAAAAAAAACACTCCATTTGACAAAAACTAGCCACAACTTCCAACTAACTCGGATTTCTATATTTACTAACTGTAAACCTGTCATTATCAAGATATTTCAACATTTAACTTATATCCTATCTCACCATACTGCTCCATCTTGAAGATGAACCATCAATTGAATGAAGATAGTACTCAATCACAGACACACACACACACAAAAGTAAGTTTGAATCATAAAATCAATTTCATCAACAATTTTTTAAAAAAAAAAAAACTGAGAGGACAAATTACATGTTAAAGATATGCTGACATGGAGCAAGAGGAAGTTAAACCAAAAGAGTTTACCGATAAATCCTGTCTTCCAGCAGCTGAAGCCCTGTTCTAAAATTGTGAAGGTTGCGCTGTAAGTGGCATGAACAGAACTTCAGCCCAAGAAGCATAAGTGTGAAAAAGGTTCCAGTAGCAGCAGGATGACGTGAGCAGTTCCAAGGAAGTTTTGTAGATCCTTGTAACATTCGACCAAGTAACAAAAGCTGCTCCACGCTATCATGCCGAACTACCTACAGATATAAAACATATCACTATACCTTTACCAAACAAGTTAATAAAATTAAAGTTGTCCCAAAGAAGAGAGAAATTAAAACAATGAACAATATGATAATCAGGGGCAAACATTACTCCTTAATTTCATAGAGCTTTAAATTTGAGTTAGATTGTGGTACCAATTGTGACACTAGGAAGAAACTAAGTTGTACTGGACCACCAAAGACTTTATTATTACTTCATCATTCTTTAAAAAGCATCACATAACCATCAATAATGACATACATATAGTGAACAAGTTTTTAAAATAACATTTATTCACGACAACTAAAAATTAAAAACACATTTTTTGACAAGTTTAACAAGTTAACAACCATATGCCCAGTGGCAGGGAAGGGCTCTTAGAGTCTTTCCCCGCTGTCAGGTTCAAAGTTCAAATCCTATGCCTGACGGTTGGGAGTGGGAACAGTGCCGGGAGAGGTGGGTGGGTGTATAAAAAAATAAAAGAAGAAGAAGAAGAAGTTAACAACCATAGATTGTTGAAATAATAAAGTACAGCATCTCAAATATGAAAATTTGATGAAAGATGGTTAGATCCTTTCCTAATTTCAGTTTTAATGTATAAAATTACAAATTTACTCTTACATGTGAACTGGGTCAGGTACCCACAGGTTTTAAAATCTTTGAACTGTGAACCGACTGCCAAAAATAGTGACCCAACACATGACCTAAACCACATGCTAAAACCAGTTTGGGTATATCCTAGTTTTGTGGTTCAGGTAGGGGTGGTTTTCCGGGCCAATATAAACTGCCCTAGCTTCAGTCTATCCTAAACATTCCTGAGATTCATGGAAACCACAGGACAAAACAGCAATTAAAATAACGTGAGGTATTTAGGGAACAGGTGTAAAGTTGAATGCCGCTATAAAGGAGAAGCTATCCATATGTTAGTAGTGATAAAAATGTGCAGCAGCATACACATGACAACCATACTCTTAACCATCTATAAAGATAAGATAAAACACAAGATTTGATACCAAGTATACCGGTGCTATCAGCACACAGATGTGCAGGTTCAAAGGTGCAACATACCTCAAAACGATCAATAAAGTAACCAAGCCATATTCTGTGAGCCATAATTTGTTCAACAGGGTCCTTTTCAGGCTGCAGTTCTGGCTCCCCTGGAGAAAGGTGAGGCCTTAGCTTTGCAGCCGGTCCAGCACACCTCATCTCAGAAGCGAAAAGGCCTCGTTTGGTATCAATGGTCCACAACCATGCATCAACAAGTTCAGCAAGGACAAGGGAACCCAACTGAGGCGCTGCAGAAACTAACCATGTCCAGACAAACACACCAGTTTCCATGGCATCAGGCGTGGAAATGTAAGCAGGGCACCAGCAAAGAAGGCGCAGAAGTTGTGAAAAGCTCTCTATATTCGATTTCATGTCAGATTCCTGAAGAAATAGAATTCTGTCATATAACATAACCAAAAGGAAATATGAACATTATTTTGCCCAGTAATATAAGAAAAAATGTAAAGAGGGAAGATGCATGCACTGACCAGATTTGAAAGAAGCAATGCAGTCGCTTGAGAACAAGTGTCCCGAAAGGATGATTTGTCCACTTCGCCACCTTTCTCAGCTGTATTGACAAATTGTTGAAGCAGACGCACAAATTTGGTAAGTAATACTTCATTGAAGGATTCATTTTTGGGATGTAAATTTTGGGACAGCATTTCAGAATCAGAAGCTGGAAGGTCAGTTGTAACGGGCTTAGGGTCGAGGCCACCAATGCTCTCATATAACCTTCTCATTCCAGCAATTTCACCAGCATGGTTACATTTAACCGTTGCACTAACTATACCAGTGCTAAGAACCTCCAAATTGAATGCCTCTGTCAATTTTAAGTTGCCTCCAGAAGCTGCAGCAGCAGCAGCCATGACTGCAGGAATGTTTGCAGTTTTCGTTCCACTCCAACAGTCATTTTTGCCAGTACCAATCCGAATTTCAGATAATAGAGAAACCACATCAGCAGTGGGCTGTGTTCTCTGCCAATTGTTTGCTTTGCAGATCTTCTCCTGCAGTTCCCAATTGACATGAAAACAACATCTATTAATGAAGTGGCTAGAGAAATATTATACCAAAGGTCACAAGAAATTAACTAGAGAAGTAGCCTGTGTTCTGATGCAATACCATATGACTACTTTTGACAAACAACTTCAAGGACTACACAACCATGTGCATCAGCGTAAGCAGCAATAGAACTAAGATGGGGAAAACAATTTGTTAATAAGTTAAAGGACAGATATGCAACTTTTTTTCCCAAAGCGATAATGGTGCTGTATAATCAGAAGCGACCCATAAGTTTGACAAAGTTGTTAACATTGAGTATGGAGGTGATAAATCACATTCTTAATATTTTATTCCACTAAGCTGAAAGGAACAAAAGTATTGGTGCTTCTAAGGATGCACTTGTTTCTTTTGTCAGGGGGAAACCAGCTAAAATCAGTTATATCAACTACACAATTGTGATAAAAAAGAAAACCATATTCCTGACATTAAGAAGATAGCCGAGTTCAATATAGGGACATAATATAACTGCAATGATGCATGCCACTACCCAGAGAAACTATAGTGCTGAACTATTTTAACAATTGAAAGGCAAACATGTGAAGTGATAAATGATAAGATCAAAGTTCATAATAAAAGAAACCTGAAGAAGGCCCTGACTCGTGCATGGCGCATATGAGAGTGAAATAACTATCCACTCGCGAACAATTTTCTGGTATAAAGAACGGACAGTAGCAACCCAAGCAGGGTCGTGAACGGCAGCTGATGGCGGATCATTGTGGATAGAAAAAAGTAGGGAATCCAAACAAGAAGAATTCCACAAAATCTGTAACAAGTACCAAAGGTTCAAGTAATCTCAGAATCTGAAGAAAAAATCATGCAATGCTGAACATTTTATTCAATCTATATCACCAAAAACTTTAACCTGCGGAAACTTATCTCTGAGTTGATTCAATAAAGTTACTGAAATATCACGAATATGCTCGTCCCTCTGAGACAAATTTTTTATAAGAAAACATGCATGGATGGAAAGGGCAGATTCTCTAATCTCAGCATCATGACCAGTCTCAGAAGCCCGTTCATCCTGCATCCAGAAGCAAGGAACAGATATTTCTGACGTTCAGTCTGTCATGTAAATGCAGAAAAGTTTCTTCCAACTTTCTTTCTTTTTAGGATATATCCGTTGGGGTGGGCAGGGATAGGTGCAGGTGGCAGAGACTAAGTTCCCAAGTTTTATTTTTAAAATTCCAGTAAAAACTTAGACAGAAGTGCTGAAAAGGTAAAACCTTCATACTAAGATAGATATAGCTGCATAAGTACACAATGGCATAGAAAAAATGGGAAAAAAAATTCTGAGAGGATTGTCGACCCCTTTGAATACTCAACAAAACAGGAAATAACAAAATACACAAGCCCCTTGCTAAAACTTGCTTCCTCTTCCCTTGCTCTTATCTTCCCATAATGGTCCAGAACTACCAATCTCTCAACCTTGCACATAGACTCGTTTGAGCTAAACCATATTTCACCAGAAAAAGTTAATACAACTTACCAAACTTATAAACTATCAAAAAAATTAAGATACGAGAATTACTACCACACTAAATGAATGCAAACTCATATATAGCTTCATTTATAAATATATTAGTTTGAATATTAAAAAATTGAACAAACTAATATATACAAAGAAATAAATGGTGGACAAGACCCATATAGGTGATGAAAGAGAGCATACCAGCCAAAGTATTGCTGTTTCAAAGGCCCGGTGAACAATTGCTGTCAAGCACTGAGAGACAGCTGGCATGAGATTTGGACTTTTCAAATACTCAAAGACACAGCTGAAGGCACTTCGAGAAGCCGTTGAATTAGGGCTACCATTGAGCATGCCACCATTACTACTGAATCTGATTATCTCTAGAAACGCTACAGCTAAAAGATAAGTTGCCTTGACACCTGTAGAACTCAGAACAGAAAGAATCAGAAGAGCATACAAAAGAGGATATAATGCCATTAACTTTTCTCAATACTGATTGGCAAATAACATGGGATAGTGATGCTAATAGTACCACTGAATTTCATCAAACCTGAGATTGTGCCCATTCCCGAAACCTCCACGCGCCCGCCTAAAGCAGCTGAAAGAGCAGATCTTTGGCTTACAGCAGCTTTTTCATTGCCACTACCTCGCCGGCTACCCGGGTTATGAAGAGCATTAAGTTCCAACTCATCTTCAAGCCATTTTACAGAGCTAACAACCTGGATAGGAAAAAAAATCGTTGACCCTTTTTCAAACATAAAGCATTGAAAATGACGAAAGATGAAAGATCAACCCAAAAAGTGTAAAAGTAAGGGTCTTTCAAGAGCTACTCAAAATAATATACTGAAAGATCTTAAGAATCACCTCTTAATGCAGTAACTTTTTATTTATAAGCTAAAATTTGAAACTAACTTTAAGCATGATTTTGTGTTGAAATATTTTATTGTTGAAAATAAACCAGAGTAAATCAGTTCCATTGTCAAGTTCAAGAGTAACATAACGTGTAGTTGACATCCTAGATGTTTCTACAAGAGACAATTAGTGGTCTATTAACTATATTCTATTAAATCTTAGAAAAACTATGACTTTCAGAAGACGTATCTTAACTCAAGAACAGTGGTGAATAATGACATAAGGCACTCTCCATTTGTTTAATTGCATTATCCACTCATGCTCTGTTCTTCTATCACCTCCTTTCTCAAATCCAGCTGTTTCTTTTGAATGCAAAGAGCCTCATTTTAACGATCAGATCAAGCCTAAAACCCTATATTGTGAATACCAAAATAGCCCCTAGAATATACTTCAAGAACAATTTGTAGGAGAGCATTGCCCTACACTTAATGAATTGAATTATAGCTGCACGGGTCTTATAAACAATAAACACAAATGAAGAACCATCTAATATGATATCAAGACCATCATGCTTAAAGCTTAAGCAAAATGGATGTAAATGTGTTCACTAGGTAGTCTGAACCGACATCATGCCAACCCAGTAAAAAAAGAAATTCCCAGTAAACGGCCCTGGCTTAAAGGTTACATAATGGCACAAATAGAAGACACCTTTACACTGACAAGAAATTGCACGCATTTAACACAACAAACATCCTCAAATGTTCATACATCCAAAAATTTTGACCAAACAACAATAAGCAACAGGCAGATATATTGAACTAATAACTGAGCTGTGCTCAGCCAAAATCCAAGAGTTCTAGCTAAGTTTGTGAAATAATACAGGATGTGATGGAAATCAAATGAGGTAAGATGTGTGTGTGCGTGTGTATAAAGAAAATATGAACTTACTAGGGGTGGAGTCCCTTGAGAGATGCGCTGAACTGCAGAAGCCCACTGAGCATTCCACATGTACGGTCCACCAACAGCCTGGACTGCAATTACACCCATGCTACCTACACTATTTAGAGAAGTGGACACTGACTTTGTCGTCACCTGACCTTTTTGTATTGGAGGAGCTAGCCCAAAAAGAGCTATATAGAACCACAAATTGCGAAATAATTTTAAGAGTGAAGGTTCCACATCTATAGTAGGATCAAAATCCGAGCATACTTCAGCCACAGCAGGGAGTAGAGGACCGAGAAAATCTGCTCCACTCCTGCAAATGTGAAGCATTAGTGGTCATACAATATCCAAACACATTTTATCAAACAATACTATTTTGGATCTAATATCAGAATGTCTCACCTTCCACTTTTGGATTCAGCAGCTAAGCCTACATCTGAACACAAAGATAGCAGACGGTGACGAAAATCTGACCTCAATTTGGTATCGGTTAGGCCACCAGCAATCACAAGAAATCCTGCAGGAAGAGTCTAGAATGTGATTGAACCAGTGAGCATAGCATTTAAGATGACAAAATATCATAGCAAAAAAGATACATGGACAAGTTCTCACATCCAAAGGGAACAGCGTACCTCAACACGTTCTGTCGTGGCTTCTGGTGCCACAGTTTTACTTTCAGCAGAGCCAACAGCAGAGAGTTTACTTAAGTAGCTTCGGATCAATAGAACAACAGCTTCACGATAAGATTTCTCAAAACCTAAACTCGCCAGGCGAGAAACAGCATCAAGAAGCTGCAGTAACTCAACAAAAACAGGTTGAGAGATGATGCTGTAGGTTCAATATTAGCTAGCTAGCAAAGTAGTAATGCTAGTCATGTAGTATCTAAAAGACCCGACATGATCGCTAATAAACCCTATACCTGGAGTCTCAGTAGGCCTGGGGCCGAGGCATCTCCCTCTTCTAAACTTTCAATAAATAGTGGTAATATCAAGTCAACCACTTCAGGCTTGCTAACAGAAACATTTAAATCCGCAAGTAAGCGAATCATGTTAAGTTGCCCAGCAGAAGCTGCCTGCTTATCTTTTGCATCATGCGATTGCTGAAGCTACAACAATTAAAAGACAAACCACTTTTCAAGGCCAATGTGAAAATCAGGCGAGGAAGAATGACTAATGCCTATACAGTCTCCTGATTATAGTACTACCAGCAGAATACAACAATTGTAGTTTGAGTACACTTTCAAATATGAAAACATGACCTTGAATTGCCAAGATAACCCAGCTCCCTTCCTACTGTTTTTATCATCCTGACAAGCACATGTTACACTTCTTATAGCTGCCAATGCTTTAACAGCATGTACCAGTAAAAGGTCAAACAAAAAACGCTATAAATGAAACTGTCCTATGTGCTCACCTAAAGGGCAACCAGCACACAGAGCTGCCATGGATTAAGAGCCCAGAAGGGCTAGTTTCACAAAAATATCTCTTGATACTATGCATGCACCACCTCATCTGCAGATCTTTCATGATTAACAAATGGGTTCTCTACATAACAGCATTTGTACCAATAACTCTCTGTATCTCCACGACTTCAACTTTAAAGATAAAACTGATCCCAAAAGGCAAGTAGGGAATATCAAAAGGGAAATGAGAAAATGGCCTTCCGCATCATTCGATTTTTAGAGGAAAACGAGCAAGAGGATGTTTACCAAAAGTTGCCGCTGAGTGCACCAGAGAAGAATTCTATTGAGTTGAATTAAAAAGTTATCAAGAACCTAGGCAATAATGGTGGGGAACGATGATGAGGACAGCATAGAAGAAAAAACATCCTTGCTGTGGCAAGAGCCTAGAAGGGAAGAAATGGGAAAGAGAAAGCTTTTCTTTTGTTGAGAACCTTTAAATGAAAAGAGACAAAGAGAACAGGGATCAAATGGAAGAATAAAATGGGCAAAAGGTTTTCTCTCAAAAGATGGAGAGAAAATGAAAGAAAGTTGACAATTCCCTTGTAAAATTTTACTGAAAACCAACTTTAATCATCAAATGCTCACGAACAAAAATTTAACGTATTATCAATCCAAAATCATTTTCTCTTCCCTTCTTCTCTTTCATAACTTTATGTTTACGTTTCTCTTCGCTTCTTTCCGTATCTCTCCAAACTCCCAAACTAAGCCCACGTATCAGAAAATGAAGAATTTAGGCTCCCATCTCATAGCTCATGCATGAAGACAAAAATGTAAAGACACACACTAAACGGATAGTTGACTAGTGGACAAACATGCATATGCTTTTGCAACTTCAAGAATGCAAATTCATGTCCAATATGTACATGATAGCAACTTAAACAGTTTGCAATTCAAAATGTCAATGAATTGCATATCAACCTACCTCTTCTTCATAATCTTTACGTTCACGAAAGCTAGTAGCTAATCCCGTTATAAAAGTATCCACAGGCGGCCGTTCCTTGATCCATCCATATTCAATTATTTCACAAGTTGCTTTCAAGACACTCTGAAACATTGCACCCTGGCTGCTGCCCCAAGTGTCAGCCTGTTTGAAAAAATGAAAGTGCACCAACATTTCAGTAAGTGACGCATTCAAGGCACTAGAACTTAGACCATCACAACTCAAATAAATGGTAAACCTGAATACAAGTAGTCAGCACTAGGGGCTTGAAACGAATAAGCAAAACTCGCAACAGCTGGCCACCACGTGCAACAGCAGCTTGGGAAATTCCACCGAGTAAAGAGCCAAATAGCTCCTCGCAAATCCTCAACTTCCGCCACACTGAAAATAAACATGCCTCAGCAGCCTCTATCAACAATGCAAGAGTTCCATGCAAGAACCTCTTTGATGACTTTCCGTCAAGGTCAACAGATGCAAGAATCTTAATCTGTAACTTAGCCACTGCTTGGTAAACAGATAGCTTGGTACTGACTCTTGCTTTCAATAAATGCCCTTGTTCAGACCAGTCACGCTTTCTTATCTGCCCAGAGAAGAGACAAGATAACCGGCTCAACTTTCTTTCACTAGTACTGCCCTTTTCCTTCTAAAAATCAATTTGTGGCCTAGTAACGAGTTACAAAAACTAAAAGATGAATAATTCAGAAATCCTACCTTTAAAAATGCTAACATTGATTGGAGTTGTTCCTTTGTGACAAGTCTCACTTGTTCCAAAAGCTTGGAATCAACCGTGGCCTTATCCAATATATGCCTTATCAATTTAAAAGCAATTTCCTGTTTTTCAAGGTTCTCCAAGGACTCTTGCTCAAAAGATATAAGAATTCCCTTGCCTCCACCGCCATCATTTAGCCCTGTGCTTACGTTCAAGATATCCACATTGCTCTTCCAGCCAGCGCTGCCCCCATTGGTCACAATTCCCTTTGATGACGACGCATCATCAGCAACGCTGCCAGATGATCCGGAGGCATTACTCACCTCATTCCCTGGACTTGCCCTCTCATTAGAGTGATATGGAAAATGGTTCAAACTCAAGGGTGAACTCTGACTTGAAGCAGCCTCGGAAGAAATAAGCTCCCTCGGTGAATTGGGAACCATGATTTCAAGCCGTTCAAGAAGACACGAAACTAACCTGTTAGCATCAGACGAAAGAATGGGCGGGAAATTCAAGGCCAAGGCGTTCAAGAAAACCCTGGAAATCCCCAAATCCCCAGAGACATTGCCTGTGGCAGAGATCACAATTTCTCCAGTGAAGCCAGCAATGTCAGTTGCAAAATCAGAGGCTGACTCCGCAGCTCTACACATATAAGCAAAGTAGTCGTTAAAGAAGGAGGCAATCGCGTCATTGCCAAATGATTGGGGCCAGAAAGAAGGGGTGAAAGAGGATGGAATTGCGCGATAGAAGGCAAGGAGGAGGGATTTAGGCCGTTGATCGTCGTAATTTGGGCATTTGGAGAGGAAACGAGCCACTGCCAGGACGGCATTGAGCTGAGATCTCGAAACCCTAGGAGATCCGGTAAGGAGAGACTCCGCCGAAGGACACCGGCCGCATATCCAGACCAACTTGTCAGCGAATTGCTCGGGTTTTTCAGCAATTAAGTCACACAGCTCGATCAACGATTCCATTTCCGCAAATTTAAGACCAGAAGGCACTAACAAATCAACGTGTAAATTAGCTCATTCCCGCATTGCAAAATTGAATTCTTCTGCGCCATGATCGCCATCTGAATTATGTTCAAAGATTTTGGTGAAATCACTCTTAGTTGAATAAATAGCAAAACTACACACAATTGAAGAGAAAATTCGAGCTGTCCGCGAAATTGCATCAGAGAAACTAGATCACATATGAGAGGAAAAATGCGGACTGCAAGGGTCAAAGGAGAGAGAATTGACAAAAGTAACACGAGTAAATAAATATCCACGTAAAAAGCATTTTAAAAAAAATAATGCTGTCGGATAATTGCAGAAAAAAGATGTGAAATTAGGGTTTACAGCGGCTGTAGTTGAAGGGACGACCGGAGGTGGTACTGGGTCGTGAAGATCTATGCAGCGTCGTAACGTCGCTGTTGTTCCTGCAACCTTTGTTGTTTCTGCAACGTCTCGCGCCCCTCTCTGTCTCTCTCGCTCTTTTCCTTTTTTTTTTAATATTTTCCTACCTTTCTAAATTCTAATGTTCAGTCACGAATGCCTTTTTTTCGCTCCACCTCCTCCTTTTTTTTTTTTTTTCCCCCACTAGTACTTTTCGCCCTTTTTTTTTTGGTAATTTTCTGCCCTTTTTTTTAACAAACTCGAAGGCCGCAAGGCGGCCTTGGTCCTGGGTAATATAACTGATGATTAAGGGGTCCAACCCGGTTCCTATGGTGCTCGATGGAATCATATGAATCACCACGGGTATAGGAAAAAAGCCCACTTTCATGATTGATTGAAATTTGAACTAGTGTTTCATAATACATACAAAAGATACAGTTACAAACATTGATAAAACATGGTATAACAAATTTTTATTTAATACTTTAATGAGTTGTGGTGTAAAGAAAAGAGAAATAAAATTTTTACAACTTTCATATATGTAAAGACACAAAAAAATTCATCGTTATTGTACCATTTGAAAGACGAGTCTCTCGCTATGAGAGCAATTTTCTCTCTATCCTAGAGAGAGAAAATCCCCCTATGTGGGTGTCCACATTTTCTTGAAAACTTCAAAAATTGAATTACCAATTTAGATGCCAATCTTAAAACTTTTCATTCAAGGAAATTTACCGATCTCATCCATTATCTGTGGAATAGCGTTGGATTTTCTAGTGACAGTAGCCATAACTATTTCTATTTTCCAGTTCCTATTGAATATGATGTGATAGCTTTCATATCTAATCACAATTTTCTTCTTCGTTGTGTTTTGCTAGTCTTAGTTATTTATGCTTCTAATCTTGTTTTTGGTTTGTTTGTTTTGAATTAGGAGTAACTGGAATTGGGAACTTGTTGGGAGGTATTACAAGAACTCGGATTAGGTCCGGATCTGTGTGGGACTAGAAGCATATCGGAAACTATAGCGTGAGATTTGTGGGAAGGATCATGGAGAATATTGAAGAGGTATTAAGAAGATTCAAATTCTCAGAGGAGGAAAGAGATGGAGTTCATTTGGACAACAAAGAAATGGCTAAAGGTGTTCTGGAATGCAAACTGAGCTTGATTGGTAAAGTTTGGGGGGAAAGCAGACAAATATTAGAGGAGTTAAGAGCTTCGCAAACAGTATGTGGCACAGGTGAATAATCTGAAAGTAATGGAGATTGGACGTAATTTGTTCCACTTTATTTTTGAGAAGGAGAATGATATAGAGGTAGTGATGAGCAAGAGGCCATGAATCTATGATGGTCAACCGTTAATTCTACTGCAGTGGAAAACTGGTTTGGAGAAAAATGAAGAAGCCCTGAGTAAAACATTAATTTGGGCCCAAATCCAGAATATACCCTTACACTGGGTCACGAAGGAAGCAAAAAAGAAGATTGGCATCATATTTCCAAAAGTAAATGAGGTGATCATTCCGCAGAGTAAGGAAAAGAAAGTAAACATCTAAAAATTTTGGCTGAAATTGATCTTTCTATTCCATTACCTAGAGGGTTTATGGCCAATAGTAATGGTTTAAGAGGTGGATTGAATTTAAATATGAAAAATGTCTAAATTTCTATTTTGATTGTGGATTGATTAGGCATAGTGAACGAAACTGTAGTAAAAAAGGAATGAATATAGGAAGGGAACTTCGGTATGAAAATTGGTTGAGAGCCAGTTATCCTCGAAATCCTACTAAGAAAAATGGAAATGGAAATGGGACTGGGGGTGTTAAAGAAGAGAGACACCAAACTCAGGACAATAGGAATGTAAAAAGAGATGAACATAAGTTGCTGCTAACCTATACAGAGGAATTCTATAAGGATGAGGAACTAAAACAAACTTCTGAGAAAGAGTTGACTATGAATACTAGTTTGATGAGTAGAAAGATGAAGAGTACGCATGAGGAGAGTGGGACTGAAGGGGTTGAGAATGAAGGGAGATGGGAGACAGGGGAAAACAGATTAGGTAAGGCAGGAGGTAGGGACATTGGAAAGAGAAAGAGGGAGTAGAAGGGAAAGGATGCAAATGGAACAGCAGGATGGCGAGAGTTTTGAGAAAACAATGGAAGAAGCAGATGATCTGATGTGGATTGATGGTGTCCAGAGTAAGAATAATAAGGATAAGATTGCTAAGGAAATAATAGAAGGGAGGAAAGGTGAGATAACATCTGAGGGAGGTAAAGGTAAAATGGAGGTAGGAAAGCAAAAGGGTAGGGCTAAAGGGAATCAAATGGTAAGTAAGAGGTGGAAAAGACTAGTATTGGAGATGACAGGAGAAAATCACAGGTAGAGGCTAACAAAGAATTACTAGAACTGAAAAAGAGAAAAGGAATATGGAAATTATGGATTGAGAAAGAGATGAGGTGCAAGTAGGGAAAGAAAACTGGAAGAAAATCAGAATTGAGAATGGAAATAGTGACTAGATGGAACTGTCTGAGGGATTGGAGCCCACCTTAAATGAGACTCCAAGGTTTAAATGAAGGCTATGGTGTGGAACTGTCGAGGTGTGGAGAACCCCTTGATAGTTCCTCAACTGAGAGAAGTCATTAGATTCCATTCTCCTTCATTAGTGTTCTTGTCAGAAACAAAGAAGAAAAAAAACTATTTGAATAAAGTGAAACAGTGGATTAAATTTGACAATGTGTTTGTTGTTGATCCAATTGGTATGGCAAGGAGTTTGGTTGTATTATGGAAAAATGAGTTGCAGGTGAAAAAGGTTTTGTTTACAAGTTTTACTATTGAATTGCTAATAGAGGACAATGAAGTTAAGATTGACCGGTGGTGTATATGTGCTTATGCCAGTTCAGATGCAAGTGTTAGAAGAGAGCAGTGAAAGTTATAACTAGAAGAAACATAATATGGGGTAAGTACTGGGCTATAATAGGTGATATCAATAACATTACCTTTAATGGTGAAAATGGGGAGGTAAACAGAAAGTTGAGGTAAGATTCAAAGATTTTAACTCCTTCATAAATAATGATGAACTGGTTGACATTGGATTTGAAGGAATTCCTTGGACCTGGAGCAATAACTAGGGAAATGAGGAAGAGGTAAAAGAGAGGTTGGATAGGATATTATGAACTAAAGGTTGGATAGAAAAGATTGATAAGGCAAAATATATACATGTAGAAACTGAGGCATCTAATCACTATATACTAGTTCTGGATACTAAGCCAATGGGAAAGAAATGAAAAAAAAAAATTTATGTTTGATAGAAGGTGGTTACAGCAAGAGAATATAAAGGAGGTAATAAGGAAAGGTTGGAGAGAACACGAACTGGGGTCCAGGTTATATAAAGTTCAATGTAAAATCAAAAAAGTCAGTGGATTTGCTTAATTGGAGTAAAGGATGCTTTTGCAACTCTAAGAAACAGATAGAACAGGTTAAAAAGGAAATTAAAGAAATCAAGGAGTGTAAAACTAATAGTTACAGGATTAAGTTGGCTGGTCTTAAGAGGAAACTGGCTGAAGCTTATAAAAGGGAAAAACTATGGGCTTGTTTGAAAGTGAAGTTTTTGGCCAAGTTTTTTAGCTACTAATTTTTTAACAACTTTTGCTACAAGAACCCTAAAAAATTTATCAAAGTTTTTTATTTACACACTTTAAAATAATACACAAAAAATTTTCCCTTCAATTTTTCTTCTTTTTCCTCCCCCACCCAACCGGCCACAACCTCCACCACCGCTTCCGGCGCCGGTACTGAAATCTCAACACCCCAAGCTAAAAATTGCACCCCGTCCACTTTTTTCTTGCGGGTTTTTTCGCAACTGTACTCAAACAGTGCTCAGTCCGACCACCACCACTCCTCCAACACTCCCTTTCCCAGCCACCTCTGATCAGCCACCGCCAAAACCAACATCACCACCACCACCTCCTCCTCCTCCTCCTCTCCCTCCTCCACCGTCTTCCTCTCATCCACCACATGCACCGACCAAACCCGATTCGGAATCATCCTCATCTTCCTCAAACACCTCCCAAAGCTTCACCCAATGGAGGTTCCCGCTGACTAATTCCCCCATTTCTCACCATTTTATACACCCGTATCAGCAAACTCAAGAAAAGCCGAAGATTTCGGAGCCCACCCCACCAAGAAAAGCGCCTGATTCTCTGCTGCCGCCGCAACTATCCGCTACCAAGTTGGAAGAAACTTTTCACGTTGCGGAGCTTCGTTTCAGCTCTGGATCCGACGAAGACAAGCTCGGCGCGCTACACTTGCTGGAAAAGTCACTCGTTCCAAACCCACGCGCAGTCGCGGACGGTGGAGATGCGGTGGCATGCCCGGCTACGGTCATGAAATGGGTGGTGAGCTGTCTAAAAGAAAGGGTCATGGCTAAGTCGGCGCAGTCGAAGCCGGGGCAGTTGGGGTTGTGGTGGACGCAATGGCGGATTTGGAGGGTGCGGTGGCAGAAAGGTCGTTGGCAGTATTGGAGTGGGGGAGCTTTTGCAGGGGTGGGGGAGGGGGGTTGCGGGCAGAGGGGTGGCGAGCAGAGGGAGAGGGAGGGGGAGCTTTTGCAGGGGGCGACGGAGGTAACGGGAAGAAGAAGAAGAAGAAGAAGAAGAAAAGAAAAGGAAAGAAAGAAAAAGAAAAGAAAAAGAAAAAAAAAGAGAAAAGAGAAAGAGAAAAAGAAAGAAAAAAAAAAGAAAAGGAAAAAAAAAATTTCATCTTACAAAAACTTCTACACAATTTTTTCAAAAACTTCTACAGTACACTACAGTAAAGTTTTAGACAAACTCCCAAAAAACTCAGGTTCTAAACAGGCCCTATATAGGAGTCAAAAGGTTAGGGTAAAGTGGTTAAAGAAGGGGGACAAGAATACTAGCTATTTTTATGCTAGAATGACTGGCAAGAGGAAAATGAATAGGATTAGTGTGCTACAAAAAAAGAGTGGGAATTGGTGTGAGAATGAAGAGAAAACTTGCCAGGAGATCATAGACTATTTTAAGCAGATTTTTACTTCAGAAAAATCATATAACTTTGCAAAAATTTTACAATGAGTCCCACATACTATCCCTGCTGAGATGAACAGGAAGTTGACTAGAAAGTC